TTCTAGAGTAAAATTTTCCATTACAGAACTAATAATAGCATCTAAAGGTGACGCTATTTGCTCCAAAAATAAGGTGTTCCCCTAAATCGACAATAGTCGCCTCGCGCGCTTGGGAGCTGGCCCGCCCGTTGGCGATTATTGTCGCCTCGCGCGCTCAGCGGAGTGAGAGAGGGGAGGCGAATTTTGTCGCCTGGAGCGCTACGAGGGTTAAGAGGTAAATTTCGAAGTCTAACAGCTGGTGCTCCACTACCTTAGTTGATATTATTTTTGACTGCCTTTCATGCATGTCCCGAGATCAAAATTCTAACTCGCATCGCTTTATGCCTTACCAGAGAGATCAGGTGTTGATAGAATGCTTGGTGAGGTTCTGCCGGTAGACGTGGATAGAGACAGTTTTGGGGCATCTTTAGCTCAGTTTATGTACTACTTGTGGTGTGGCAAAATATGGCAGTTTATGTGATGGTAAGACATGTTTATTGATGTGGGCCTAGATCAGACATCTATAATCACATCTTTGAATCATGTAGATTTTCATAGCATCACAAGTTGTTGGCCTATCTGTCTATCTGTTATATAATACAAACCATGCAAAACCAAAATCACCAAGTGAAGGAACAAACATATGGTACCAACGAGAAGACAACTTTTACATGGAGGTTTTGTTGGTTTTTTTTAGAAAATAAAACCTTATTTGTAAAGAAAGAAAAAGTATCTGCCCCATTCAGAATGAAACACAGGTGTGGTCAAAGTGTGCTCCAGATATTTTGATGTCATAGTAATGACTTCTTGATGTTCGCTGGCTGACTGGTGTAAAACTACCTTTAACCCTGTTGTTGCCATATCACGTACCTGGTACGTCCCAAAAATGTCTAATTTTTAACTTTTTGCTGTACCACAGACATCACGCAAATTGGCAATATTTTGTTTTCCTGGTTGCCTAAAAGATTTTACATGTACGTCTCGCTAACCGTCTAACTTTACTTTCCTCTCTATGGAGATTTAGCCACAAGCACAGTGTGGATTCGTATTCAGGAATAATCATTTCTGTGATGGTGGTTTGCACCAACAGGGTCCTGAGGATACAAAAAGCATTTGGTTTGTGATATGGAAGTTGGGGGGAAAAATATTTAAAAAATTTTTTTTTAATTAAGTGTTTTTTACGCCTCCATTGACACAATTTAGATCATTTAAGAGGCAGTTTTCAGACCTTGCCTGTCAGGGCCAACCCTGGCTGAGAGGGATACAACATCCCTGCAGAAAGACCCACGTTACTCGATAAAAATGTTCTCCCAACTTGGGAATCGAACTCAGGTCTCATGTGTACGACAGAGAAGTGCCTAATGTTCTTGTTGATATGGAAATGAAGGAGTCTGGGGAGAGAAAAAGAATCTGGAGAGAGGAGTAGAAAGTAAAGACTTAACCAGTACCAGGCTTCATTCAATCATATGACCCATTTCCTTTGACTGTGCCGCCTGCGATGATACCTGTTAAGTAACCAAGTAAGTAACCGAGACCATTTCCTCTTTCTTTTTTGTCACAGGGGACGTTCCGACGTCGTGCTTTTACTGGTTTCTGTCGGATGTGAGTCGCTGGGAGGAGTATCAGGAGCTGCACATGGTGGGGCAGTTTGTTGCTCATGCCAGGCTGCAGAACTGTGACTTTTATTTCTGCTTTTTCAAGACTCAAAAGCGCATCGAGGTGTACTTGAAAAGGTCAGCCTTTGTTGTTGTTGTTGTAAATTTTGCAATGTATGGGCTTTCTAATCTGCTTGGTCTCCTGAAAAGATTGACCTTTGTTGGTGTTGTGGGGGTGTTGTTTTTTTGTTTTGTTTTGGTAAGTGTTGTACAGAGCTCGCAACTGCTTAAGATCATATGAGCGCGCAGGACTCTTAAAGATTTTAGGATCACCATGGGATCTTTAATAATGGCAACTTGCACATGGGCCCTCCAATATTTTTCGTCCTTATCTGAGAAGACTAGGTGTTACTGTTAGATCTTACCTACCTTAAAATCAGGGATATGGCTGAAAGACAGCAGTAAGAAGGAGCCTAGGAGTAGCTGTAGAAAGTCTGCAGAAAGAGTCAGGAGCCCAGAGGAAGTAGGGGGGGGGGGGGAGCAGGAAGTGGAGACGAAAGCAGACGATAGAACAAGGTTAGAGAGCGTGAAAGGAGGTGAAAGGAAAACATTTTAGAGAAGAAAGTTTTCCATGGCTGTCAGGTTTCAAACCCGGGACCTATTGAATGATAGGTGAACACTTTACCCCTAGACCACTAGAGCCCCTGGTTGTTGTTTTTGTAAATTTCTGCAACATATAATCTTGCTGTCTCTTATCTCAGGGCTGCACCCATGGCTCCCCGTTACAAGGTACTAGGGGAATCTTCACTTTATTCACAGATGTTGCAGTAACTATGGTTATATGTGCAAAACACCTGGTGGCTGCTTTTTAAAAAATTAAATATCCCAAATTTTGGAGAGCTGATATAGATACTGAATTTTTTAAAAATCTTTGGAATTTTCTCCGTTGGTATTCACATTTGAAAACTCTACAGAAATTTTTTGAAGAAGAAAAAACCCCTTGGAAAAGACGCTGCAATTTGGGACTTACTCTGAAAAACATAACATACTTTTAATTTTATTATGTCTTTCAGGTGTTAAGAAAGTTTGATGATTCAATTACAGTGAAAGCCAAAACGAACTCAATGCACTGTTAACTGGTGTAACGGGGTTTGCCTATTGTCAATGGTGTGAAAGCAAATTGAATTACAGTGTCAATGGCAAGGGGAACTTGCTTTTGAACATTGTAAGAAAGGGTTAGATGTGGAGATGAAGAAATTAAACAAAACATAATCTTGGTGAAAACGTAGGTGTCATGGGTTGTTGGTGCTCTCTTCAAATAGGCTCCCAAATGCCATTTTCTATTGTCTAAAAGCTCTTATCTTCAACTTTTTAATTTTTTTCTTTTTTTTTGGGGGGGGGGGGGGGGGTTCGCTCACTAAGCCCTCACCAGGATGCTGTCCCTAGACCCTACTGGGGGCCTATGAGTAATTTTCCTTTTCTGCTTTGTCCCCTGGAAGCACCAGAAAACCTATCCACTTCCCTGCTTTTCTGAGCAATTTCTGAGTGAACCGGTTTGGTGTTGAGGAGAACCTGGATAAAAGATTACAGTAAAAAAAATACTGCTTCATCTTTCAACATAACTTTTTTATGCTGCTCATTCAGAATTGAATGTAGTATCTTGTGATTGTGTAAGCATTTGTCTCAATGTGTGTACAGTGGAGTCCACTTATAACGAGTCCGGAAAAAAACAAAAAGTCTGTTATAAAGACACTATTCGAAAACCCCGTTTTTTTCTCTTCTTTACCTTTGTAAATAAAATACTGCTATAGCGCTATCAGACAAACATGCGAGTCGGTTCTTGCGGAATATTGCTGCTGCTATGCATATTGCATAGGCCAATTATACATAATGTAAAACATCGCAGGTTGAGAAAGTTGTTGGTGATCTTGCGAAACAAAGAATGGGAGAGCCCAAGTGTGTCAACAATGAAGGCCGGAGCGACTGAGTAGGGAGGGTGTGGCATGCGCAGACAAGCAGAACGCATCGCGTGATAGGCCAGCGTAAGCCTAGTTTAGATTATCAAGGCCTACCATGCCTCTCACTTCTCCTATGTCGGAATGGAGAGGTCACAGCAATGTGATGGATGGAGCAAATGTGTGATGTGCGCAAGCAGACGGAATGTACCACAGGGTCTCTCTCTCTCTCTCTTCTGGCGCTGTGGCTTCATAAACGGTCAGCGATGCTGACAGCACGCAGGAACTCAGCACTTGCCCGGGGGTCCTTAAAAAATGCTGAAAGTGGGTTACTGAAATGTCCCAGCAGACGGGTTCTAGCACGATAGCTGGCGGGACATCTCAGGAACACATGGTCCATAGTTTCGACATCCTCCTTGCAGGCTCGACAGAACGGATCTGGGTTGTCCGCTGGCACAATTTTGTGGAGATATGATCTCAGCTTGGGCGATTTTCCACCAGTTCTCGTTTGGGAGAGAAGCCGGCGGTCCTGTCGTCTGAGCGAGGCCTCAAGCTGGTATGACGGCGGCTGGGCAAACGGCAGTTTGGGTTTCGCCTCTCTTTTCCACTTTGCGCGGGTCGATCAGTGGATGACGGCTTTAGCTGTCGAGAAATTGATTGGCATGTCAATCTGGGTAAGCGCTGTTGCTTCTTTGGCGATGCTGTCAACTTCCTCGTTCCCAGCCAGTCCAGCGTGGCCTGGAATCCACTGTAAGTGGATGGAACATTCAGAGCGTTGACACAGGGTGTGCAGATGTTGACAGATTGAGCAGGCCACTTTTTCCGATTGGTTGGTAGGGCCGTATGAGAGGCGCATGACTGCTGACCTAGAATCAGTGTATACATGGATGCGTACACTGTTCGGAAGGCTGCCTGCTGTATGTAGTGCCACAAGCATGTCAAGCGCTGTGTCGAGAGCTACAAGCTCGGCCCTGTAGCTGGAACAATACCGGCCCGCAGGTACGCGTTGGTCGAGTTCGATATCACCGGTCTTGATCAGTATTCCACTTCCTCCATACTCAGTACCGTGCTTAGCTGAACCGTCAGTCCAGACTTCTACATTGGGCAGGGGGAGCAAACGAAGTGTAGTCTCTGCTGCTGCTTTCCCGACAGCTGGTTCTTTAGCACGCTTGCAGTCGACGACAAGATCGGTGCTAAAAGTCACGTTGTATGATGCAGCCTTCCACGGTTGTGTGGGGGGTAAAACAACCAGCTCCTCACATGGGTACGTATCCAGTTCAGTTTCGGCTACGAGGTTCTGGGCATGCTTTCTCCAGTTCGACTTGCCTGTCCGCGTGGGCACTGATTTTGTTGCGGAGGCTCTGCGTTGGTTCGTTGCAGGCAGACGCATGGAATTCTCGAATGAGATGGCAGTCAAGGCATCAGCTCTATGCTTTAGTGGTAAAATGTCTGCTTCGATGAGGAGGCTGTCCACACGAGTATCATTTGAGCAGCCTGTGACGATTCTTGCTGCTTCATTCTGCTTTCTTTCCAGTTTCTGCAGGTTGGAGGGTTTGGCAAGAGGCATGTAGGCAGGGGCACAATAGTCGATATTTGACCTACAAGTAGCATAATATATAGGTTTTATGCATTCCTTTGAGGCACCCCAGGTGCTGCCTGTAAGGGCTTTCAATGGTCGAAGTCTGCTTGACAGTTTTAGCTCAAGGTTTTGGATGTGGGCGTTGGAGGATAGAGTACGATCAAGTGTGAACCCAAGTAAGGTGGGGTTGGAGTTGAAGGTGATGGGGGAGCCTTTGAGTGAGAAGTGAGAGTGCTGTTTTTCGCTTGACCTCGTGAGTGCTGGTGGTGAAGAGGGTGCACTCTGTTTTCTCCGTACTGATCTCCATCTTGTTTTGCTTTGCCCACTGCTCAAGTAAGTTTATGGCTCTTTGGACACTGTTTTCAGCCTGATTTATGTCTTCGTTGGTGGCATATATTGTATAGTCATCAGCATAGAGTCCCGTCTTCACGGCTTCAGGCAGGCCTGCTTCAATATCATCAATGAAGACAAGGAACAGTGTGAGGGACAGGACGCTGCCTTTGGGGACTCCCTGCTCGAAACAGCGAAGCCTGCTTATTGCGTTGCTGTGCTCGACGCAGGCATATCTGTCTCTGAGGAACGAACCTATCCATTGGGTGATGCGGCAGGGAGTAGATTTCTCAATCATCTTCTCCATTAACCTTGTGCGCCATACCTTGTCGAAGGCACGCGAGAAGTCTACGAGGGCTAGCACAGTTCATTTCATTTTGGGATGAGCCTGGAATCCATCGGAGATATGTTGTGTTAGGCACAGGACTTGGTCTTCAGTAGACCGTAACTTTCGGAAGCCCGATTGGTTGTTGCTCAGCAAGTTGTTGCTCTCCAGAAAGTACATCAGGCAGGTCTTGACGAGGGTCTCCATCAGCTTAGCAAGGCAGCTGGTGAGACTGATGGGGCGGTAGGACCCAATCCTTCCTGCAGGCTTATTCTTCTTGGGTATCGGTATGATTTTGGCACGTCGCCAGCTGTTTGGGACAATGGCCATTTCCCATGATAGGTTGAAAAGACGGAGCAGGGCAGAGGTTGCGATGTGTCCAAGGTGTTTGATCTCAGGGTGTGGTGGGGTTGGGGAAAACAGCGGGCGAGTTAGTCCAGAGCCCTTCTTTCTGATCGCCAACGCAGAGCTGCCAGTCAACATCGCTAGCGCTAGAGAAAGAAAACTGATTCGATTTTTGATCAAGTAAGAGTAAGACCTAGAGGTCATGTTGAAACAAAATCATCACCAGGGAGATAGTAAAAGGAAATAAACAGAACTTCAAACTCATAGATTAGGCCTACTTTATAGTTTCCCTTGAAATTATTACTGGATCCCTTATACTTATAGCGAGAATTCTGCTATAACGGACATTTGGCACCGGTCCCCTCCCTCTTTTTATAACAGGATTCCACCGTGTATAATGTTTTTTTCCAATAGCTGTGATGTTTGAATCTACACCGAGCCATGAGCTTGTGGTACGGGTACTGGCATTTGTTGTCTCCCTGTTGCCATCAAAATCAAATCCACTGTCGGCACTATCATTGGATTAATTAGATGTTTGAACACACTCTTGATCAAAATCCAATAAACCCCCACCCCTCGGAGATAATGAGTTAATACTGTACTGACAAACAAACCAAACGTCGGAAATCTAAATCTTAATATTGTTGTCCTCAACCGCCTGACTTTGCAGGGGATGCCGGCCATCTGGAAAACCAAGCATGAGCCAAAGGCTGCAAGAGGTGTTGAGAACTCAGCTTCCCAACAACCAATGCATTTTGAGGGATGACACTCCAACCCCGGGGCCTGTGCGACTGGATATAAATGCTCCGTGGCTACTAAAGGAACAGAATCCTAGTGAAAGGGAAAATGATGACTTGTCTTGGTCACAGGTGGGTCTTTTATTTTCCTCTGGTTTCTCTTTTCTTTTTTTTTTAACTGTTCATGAAGAAAGTGGTGTCAGTATGCTAGCTTTGAATGATAAAGTTCTATCTGACAATTTTAGCCATTTTGAGTTACCGAGACTACGAGGTCAAAAACCAAATGTTCTATCTGCTTTATCCAAATCGTACGATTATTCTGTGTCATTTTCAGGATATTCAAAGAATTGCATCAGAAAAAGCTTGACATGTTGTGAAATGCAAATTTATTTTTTTGGTCAAATTTCTCAAAGCTAGGTACTGAGCAGATAAAACTTTGTCATTCTGAGGTAGCGAGTAGTCTAGTCAATGTTCACCCAGGTGAAAATGGGTAGGCTACAGGCCTGTGGCAGTAAGAGTTATTCTCAGTGTGTCAATGTTTGAGCTGGAAAATGTCACCAAATGGTTACTCAAGAAGCTCAGAATATTTCAGAATGTCCTCAGGGTAGTAATAAATTGTAAAGCACATAGAGCCTACTTTCTAGTGGTGATATGTGCTATGTATATAAACTATTATTATTGTTGTTATTATTATTATTATTATTATTATTATTATTGTTATGATGATCATCATCATTTTTACAACAATAAACCATGCATTTAACAAAATTGTCGAGTCAGATATCCATTTTCAACAAGCCTTTGGTTTCAGTAAAATCCAGTTGTAATATGATCATGAACATTTTGAATCCATAGTTAAATACGAACATCAGTCAACAAAAATGTCAGGTAACAATTCCATCTTGGGGGTCAAATGTCGTTTCTGTTTCTGTACGACTTTTCTACTCTTTTTATTAAATGTGATCCAGTTTCAAAAGGAAACCTTTTTCTTCGTTTGCTAAAATGTGTAATAGGTGGTGCCCATTGGAGGATCGGTTCGATTATGTTTCTGGCGGCTTCAGTGCACACTATAAATAGACCCCTGCCTCAAACTGATCGCCCGACTCGTGGACTTAAAAACATGTTTGTTCTTGAAGATCATATTCAGTTTTGTTCGGTTTGTGCCAAGATGGTAGCTTCTCCCCCTCCATGGAGAAAATTCTGGCTAGCCCCGACGACTGAACCGAACCGATCTTGCCAATGGACACCGAGTATATGACCTGCTAAGTCTACAGGTAACACTAAAAACTGAATGGACTATACTGGCAAGCATTCAATAGCAGACGCATCTGTCTATCTTGGTTTATTCTCTCGCAGTGTTTCTTTCTGGACTTTGACTATAGTCACCTACAAAAAAGCAAAAGCTACGGGCTGGCGTTTGGGTGCACACAACACAACTTAACACTGATACAGGCTTGACAGCCTTCCCGAAATTTTCAGGAAATTCCAGAATTGCCATCGTCGTTCCCGAACCTTTCCCGAAACGACGGTTTCCCAAAAGTCGTGATGTGTCCCCCCCCCCAAATAATAATAACAAAACGTGAAGGCATAGAAATGCTGAGGACGAAGGGGTATTGCAAGCTCGGAAAATCTGGATCGATGCTTAGACAGGTATCAGTTTTGACTATCACTATCAAAGATTACTCGGTAATCGTACTCGATTCAAATATTTAATACACATCGCCCGATATACGCCGTCTTTTTGTTTCCGTCAAAAGAAGAGTCTTCCTTCCTTCCACCTTCCTTCAGTTCAGCGCCATGTATGTTGAATCTGGTGACATCAGGCCTTCTATCTGCTCAGTGTTTTCATTTGGAGTTTCAAACACTGAAGGCCCATTCCATCATGAGCGGTCCACCAAAATGCAAAAAGATGAAATTGATGAAATCAACTCAGCACCAGATGAAATATTCAGCAGAAAGGTTTCTTGGTGTAGATCTAGAACTCTAGTTCTGAAATCAAAACTGGTAGAAATCGTCCCTTTCGTACAAGGAAGTGATTATTCACACCGGGTGTGGGCATAAGAATTAATATTATTCACACCGGGTGTGCGAACAAGAAATAATTTTATTCGCACAGGGTCGAGCCTACGTTGATTTTAGACCTCGTTTGTCACACCCGGGTATCCCATCTTTTGGCAAAGGCTTTAAATACTGGACACTAGATCTAGATCTAGACTCTAGTATAACTTGTTTCAGATTTAGGGTTGAAGTAAGCATGCACTCATATCTCTCTCTCTCTCTCTCTCTCTCTCTCTCTCTCTCTCTCTCTCTCTCTCTCAAGGCACAAAGAAAACAAAAAACGAAAAAAAGGGATTTGAGTCATTATCATTGACACAACAATACACAACTTGAATTCCAATTTCAGTTGGGTTTTTTTGTATCGCATTGCACAATTAGAATAAGATCTATCCCTACTAAAGATAGATAACAAGATTGTTCACTCAGCCCGTACAGTGTTCGCAGAAGTCAGCGCATTGCTTCAGATGGCGCTGGAGTCTTTGTTTTGAAGCTCTTTCCTTTCTCCAGAAGAAGAATAGTCTGTTAATTTCACTTTTATTGTTTTTCACACAAGTCCAAGTAGGGTCTGTATGCACAGTCCGCACTTTTTCGAAAAGAGGAGCGAACTATCTTGTTATCTATGATCTTTGTCCCTACGCTAACGAAGATGAAAAAATGAGATAATTTCCATCCTTCTTTTGAAACGCCCTGTGCCTGTAATATTTTGTAGTGTTCACACACCCTGTGCGAATATAATTTCATAGTATTCACACACCGTGTGCGAATATAATTTCATAGTATTCACACACCCTGTGCGAATAACATTTCATAGTATTCACACAGTATTCACACACCCTGTGCGAATAAAATTTCACAGTATTCACACACCCTGTGCGAATACAATTCCATAGTATTCACACACCCTGTGCGAATAACTACAGCCTTCTTACAAAAAACTCATGGCGAAAAATGAGAAAGAAAAATATCATGACAAAGACAAAAATACCATTTAGTGAAGAATTTTTTATTTCAATGATAGAATAAAGTAATCCTGTTATCTTTATGGCTGTGTACTCTCCTAGCATGTACTTTACTGGAATGCAAAAACAATTCCTGGTTAAACGCATATGTTATGACCACATTTGACAGAATGGCCACCTCTCGTGACATTGTAACACACGAAACACAAAACATACAGAAGTTCTTCCACACAGTTAAAAAAAAGAGCTTATAATCAAATGCTTCCATGAACGTGTGAAGTTGATGATAGAAAATAACTCAGTAATATCAGTTCTTGTGAAATAAGTCCCTGAATCTCGTAGAATGGGGTCGATACGTGTGTTACATCTAAAGTTACGTGTGTTACATTCATACAAAACATGCAAATCTTCAAAGTAATGATAGAAATAGGCAAAACAAAGCAAATTACCATACTGAAACATATCACAATGGAACAAATTGATGTTTAAAGCTGAAATTTTAACTGACCAGGGGACCAAAAATGGGTTTTGGTGTAGTGATCTCCTTTATAAACATTTTATGAATCATAGCGCAGTAAATTTCACCGCTCTTTCCAGGCCACTTCCAGTTTCCAGTAAAATTTGACATGACATTCACCATAACCCTGTTGTCCCCTTTTCTGTCACTTCTTTATGGTATTTTTTCTCATCACATCTCACAAGCACCCAGTTCCCAATACTGACCACACAGTCATCACTTTGAGATGGATCACTTGCATTCTTAAATCCTTCTAAGGAGTACACATTGTATTGGACATCTTATTTGTCGGGTGAATGCATTGTAACTTCTCTGCAAGGTTCCCCTATCATTCAGTACACTTTCTTGACTCCAGAAACTTCTATATATCTCTATATTTTGCCAGGGGTCCTCATAGTGTCAATCTCATTTTGTGAGAAGTATATTTACATTTGGCTTGAGCTGCTGATCTACATTTCCATCGTGGAAGTCTTCTTCATTTCTGCACTTCATATATGTAACACCACTAAAAGTTGACATTTTCTTTGATGGTGATCCAAGGAAAGAAAAGGGTGCCTTTATTCACAGCCTTTGACAAAGCCTGCTTGTTCTTGTCTCTTTTTCTGGCTGGTGTTGCAGCTTCAACGTGGTTGGTGTTGGCGCGATGTTCCTTCTTCTTTAGCAGATGCTTTGTGACGCTTCAGGACATACTTTCTGTATTCCTTCCTGTCAGATTCTATCATTTTAACATTTTTAAAAAATTCTCTCCACTCTTCTATTCTCTTTGGCTCTGTAAGATGCAACTTATGTTGTGTCATCTTTGCACGCTGCTTTTTTTGTCTTTTGGATGGACGAATTGCTGAGGAAGGACATGAAAACAAAAGTTAAATTTGACAGGGAATAAGGCTGACTGTCTTACTGTCTCTTTTAATAGGTGAATTTTACTTTCAATTCGCATTTAATTGTTGTTCTGGTATGATTTTGAAATCCACCAGTGTAGTACAGTGTGACCCATGTTCTGAGGTACTTACATAAATTTTTGTTAAATTGTTTTGTTTGTTTTCCCGAACAATACACCAGTATTGGCAAGAGGTCGCTAATATTTGAAATTTAGTCTTTAATTAAATGATCTTTGAAGTCCAATGCATAAGTAAATCAACTTTGATTGATATCAATGTTGTTTACAGAAAATTATCGTATGAAACATACAATGATACACAAAAATTAAATTAATGTAAAATATTTACCTTTTTGCCACAGCTTGAAGTATCACCAATGCTTGTTTCCTTGTCAGCCACACTGCTTTTTTGCAAAAAGTGACCAAATATTTTTTTCGAAGTGACTATTTCTCCGAACGTTCGGAGAAATAGTGCCGATCTTTATTTCTCCGAACGGTTTCCGGCTTCCGGTCGCCTGATTGTTTGCCTATTTATTGAGAGAGTTCGGCGTCAACTTTCATTCTGCCATTCTGTGAGGTCTGGGAAGGAGCAAATTTTTGGGTCTAGATCTATTTCAATTTTCAAGAGCTAGTCTAGAGATTTTTAGATGGGTGTAAAAACATAAAAAGAAAGGTTTCACAACAGAATCAAAATTAGAACAGCCCATAAACAACCACAAAAATGAACAAATAAGGGCGTGTGTCTACCTGTCCTAAGAAGATTGGCTGTTTTAACCCTAAATGTGCGTAATTAAAAAAAAAAATACAGGATATTATATCGTGGGCCGAGAATTCTAACCGTCCAACTCCGATTTCGTAAATTTTGCAGGAGAGACAAAAAACTGAATTCAAAGGCTCCTATGGGGATTTATCGTCTTTTATAGCGCTAGACTGGAATACATGACTCTACTTTTAAGTATTTAAAGCAAAATTACCGAAATTTTATTATTTAAAGTCCTAAACCAGAGTTATACGGATAGACCGCTCGGTTTTGGATTTCTGACCGTCCAAGTGTCGACGAACTAAATGTTTGTTTAGAATTCTCCAACCCGACGGGGACGCCACACGCTTCGTTACGTCTAACTCAGTCATCGTGACACGTTAGTGTTACCGAACAACTCGAAATGACTACACCTGCAGTCAATTTAATAGGAAGCCTACGATAAAAGTTCTAATTAGTACTACATGCTACTGTAGATCTAGAATCTAACAATGATACTGTTGTTATATCCAAAACTGAACATCGCACTTTATTTCTTCATAATTCTAATTAGGTAATGGGCCTGTCCACAGATTAAGTGTGTCGTTAAGTTTTTACTATAAAGCTACTATTTGATCCTCCATTCTCAAGGAAATTGTGAGAAGGATTGGTTACTTGTCTAGCTACAAGAGAGAGAGAGAGAAGGGTGGAGGGGCTTTTAGAGAGAGAGAGGGGAGGAGTCTGAAAGAGAGAGAGAGAGGAGAGAGGGTGGGGGGGGGGGGGGGGTTGGGGCAGAGAAGAATTTTCATATACGAATTGTCTTCATGGAGCTTCTTTTATGGCTAATTTTTCCTGTTTGAAGTGCAGATTCTGTCGCAGTGCTTGTTTTGACCTTCCCCTTGGTCTCTTTCCCTGGGCAAGTTCTCCATAGAGAAATTGCTTCGGAATCCAGTTGTCGTCCATTCTCTTGACATGGCCCAGCCATCTCAAACACATGATTATTTGTAAGGTTGATTCATTATGAGCAACAACAGCAGCATCACCAACAAAGAAACGGTCTCATATTGTTGTTTGGTTTGTTGATTTTGGTCTTGGCTCAAAGTCGAGCAAGATTGAAAAGCGACCCATCATTTCTCCAGTGGAAGAAACTGAAACGCTTCTTACTCTAAAACCATGGTTTAACTTGGTTGGAAGACTCTAGAAGTAATAAGATTTTTTTTTTAAGCTCAACTAAACCTCATATAATACATCCCCACCTAATGTATGGCCTATTTAAATAACACATTTTACATAGAAAGCCATCAAGATGAGGTATGCCATAGCAGCATCCAGTGTCAACAGGAATGAATTATCCTCTTGTCCAAGCACCATTATGAGGCTTTAAAATGCTCTACCCAATGAAGCTAAAGCTCAGATTGGCTAAAAATAAACTACACAAACCAAAACACAATACGCTGCATCAAATTAGACTTAACCGTGGGTTTTAACTTGCTCACTGAATTCTAGATTGTCATAGAACTTGAGGTAGTCAGATGGCACAACAGACTTCATTTCTTGCATGTGTTTGAACTTTCTACCCTGGTACAGAGGCAGTCCCGTCATGTCTTTATGGAGAATGTCTGTGGACTTGCCACGCTTCAAAGGCAGATGTGACCAGTCATCATCAAATCTCTGTTTGTATTTAATTTAACCATCTGGTGTGTATTGAAGTGGTCTAATTAAACTCTGGTTGGTTAGTTTGATGAAATCAGAAAAGATACAATGAGTCAAATACTTGACAACATAATCAACATATTACTTCACTTTCCTACTTTCTTCCATTAGCCTGACATAATCAGCTGGGTAGTCGATGTGCTGTGAGCACTGTCCAGCTCCATCTGTTTATAGCCCTTCTCTAGGAATTTTAGTGTTACAGTTTTGCCATTGACAGAGTTGAAATGTAACAGTGCAGAACTCATTATGACTTTGCAGTTCTGATACAACCACATCCATCTGAATATAATGAGCTGGAGTCAAATCAGATGACGAAAAATCAGTCACACAAGGAGCACGTTCATTTGCAGTCAGAGCACCTTCGCATTCATTTGGAGACATAACATACACAGTCCTTGCTCTCTAGTTCCTATACTGTGAAATTGTGTACATTCAATTCCTTGCGTTGGTGCGTGGATATAGCATAACTGATTGCAGGTCCACTGTGATGTATTTGATTTTGGGGCTGCCCATGAATTTTTCCCTGTCTGCTGTCTTTTTTTGCATGCCCCCTCTTCCACATTCCCCTCCTCAAAGCCCACACAAAGATCACACCTATCTTTTCGAGGATGGAACAATGACAGGTTCATAGCATTGAACTCCTCTTTAAATTTGAAGGTAGAAAGAACCCCCCCCCCCCCCCCCCCTCATACTTTTCTTTATACAAACGGCGGTACACTGCCTGTAAGTTCTGGAAAACAAGTTCCAAGTATAACTTACAGGAGTCCTTCCGGAAAAAATGAGATGGCAACTGGGGCAGATCACGAAGAAACTGTTTACGTACCTTTGATTCTGTAGTCTCCTCCCTCACCCTTTTCTCTGAACTGGAACCTCACCCTCTGCTACACCCAACCCACATGTGAGAACATTGTGAACACACTAGTTACAAAGTACAGGACTTTAGAAGAAAGCCTTGCACACTTTGACTCTGGCCCCTTTCACTCGCAGATGGTACTTCATGGACCATGATCTTCTGCTTTCTCTCTCCTTTATCTCCACAGGCTCGACACATTCGACCAACCCTTTAAGGGCTGGTGGGGCACCTAGAAAGCTTGTTTTGGGCCCAATTTATGCAAATTGGGGTTATTACATATTATAGTACCTGGACATTTCCTGAACAATATCCAGAAACGTATGTAAGCTTTGCTACATCCTAAAGCTGTCTTTTTTGTCCAAGTGTTTCTGCAAAAGCACATGTTTTCCAGTCGGTTCTTACCTTTATCGGCTGTTTTCTCACAATTCTATTTTTTTACACATTATCCCATTTTTCTGCTCTGTTTCTTGGTCAATTTCAATGTAACTTTAACAGCATGCTAACAACACCTAGTTCTAAATTTTGGCATGTTGAATTTTTGATTAATGTAGTAGTTTTTGATTTATGGGCTTAGAAAGCATGAATTTTCCATTTTTTCACTTTTTTTGCAAAAACCCGATTGTAAGTGTCATAAAATAAAAACTAAAGCATATATCAAAAATCCAACAAGCCAAATATAAGAGCCATATGTTTACTGTTGCAATGCCAAATTAAAAGTGAATCGGTTAATAAATAAGGGAATAAAATGGGATTGAAAAAGGTATAGAAAATCCAATATGGCCGCCGTTTCCATAGCAACCGATTCAAAATATACTTTTTGAAATATAGATTTCAAATCCCCAACAGCACACAATGTCCCACAGCAAATATGGGCACTCTAGGCCTTGTAATAACCAAAATAGACCTTAGGTGCCCCACCAGTCCTTAACAAAAGCAGCCTTTTCTGATTTTACATTTATTTATAATCAAACGCCTCCTTCGGAGCAAAACGTTATCGCCGTGATCCACAACGGCGGGCTACCTAAACGAATTAGACGGTTAGAATTCTTCGGTCACGGAAACCAGTCGGAAATATACGGTTAGAATTTTTCTTTAAAACAAGACTTTTGTTTGTCAAAATTGTCCTAGATTTTAATAGGACGTAGCCATTCGTCATGTCAATTTATTTAAGGAAAAAAGCAATTCGAGAAAATTTCGGAGTTAGACGGTTTGAATTCTCCGCCGACGACATGTAAATTATGGAATCACACACAAGGGGCCTGCGAGTTTCAGTACATGTCATAATCGGTTTTGGTGGAACGCTCTAACATAACACATTAAAATCTATATCATCATCATCATTGCCTTTCTCACCCTGAACCAGGGTATAGGCCACGGACAAACACCTTCCACCTTTCTCTATCATGGGCTAGCCTCTTGATGTTCCTGCTGATGTAGAAACTCCTCCGTCTCCCAAGATCGAAAAATAAAAAGCTGTGTTTGTCCATAGAAATGCGAAAACATGCGTGCACGAGCCGGGGATCAAAGCCCGGACCTTTCGCATCCTTAATTGTAATCCTCTAGATCTATCCATTCTTTGTTAGTTTCTTTTATTTTTCTTCTTTCTTTCTTTGGTCGTATTTTGATAAATAAAAATTCACATTTTTTTGTGTGGAATTCCTCGTACATGTACATGTAAGATCCCATGTTCGACCAGGATTTTTTCAGAGAGTTTCAATGGTACCACAAACCTTTTTTTCTGTTGGCAGATACATGGAATACAATGTTACAGTCAGACAGAGCTTGCAAAAATATGAAAAACAAACTTTATTTCAACAAAGTCGACCGACAAATAAAAAAGATGTGAAATTCCAAAGTTTATTGGGACTTGGAACATTTTTCGCAAATTTTAAAAAATGCATTTGGGCAAGGAAGTAGAACTTCGCGCCCACTTCCAACTGCTTCGCAATTTTGTTTCGAAGTAAAAATTCAAAGGCAAAGACTTCTGATTTGATTATGCAAAAGAGTTCTGTTGTCACTGGGAATAGTTTCTGTACCTATCCCCAGTGTCACTGGGAATAGTCACTTCGATGATAAAGTAGTGGTGACAGGACACAATCTTTTCGGACTTAGGATGTTATCTCGAACCATTCTGTGAGTCCCTCTGACGTTCGTCCTGGTTACAATGACAAACATACATAATACATAAGTACATTTTTAAATACACAAATAGTATGCATTTTCTCCTGCATTGGATCACTCTTTTTTTGTGTTTGTAGATTCTATATGCTTGCTTTTACTAAGATCCTCTGCTTCTTCTTCTGTGGTCGGCCTCCTCCTGAGAACTGCAGCATGCAGTCAGATACGTGACGACCTCTTTGGGTTTGGTCCATCTAAGATCTTCTTCCCCTCCACCCTTTCCCCCAACAGAACTGCCCTGGCGTGCTGCAGCCTGGGCCAGCAGACGACAGCCCACCGGTTGGACCGACAGTGCCGCAGCATACAGGACCCCACGCTATGGAAGCGGCTGCAGATTTTGGGAGACTGGAGGAGAGTCAGCTTCGTGTCATGAGAATGAGAGTTGGTGAGCTCAGGCACATCGGGCTGCCTCTAGAAGCCATCTACAAGTATATCAGTATTCAGAAGAAGTGGGAGATTCTGGCAGGTGAGTTATTGTAGCTGTTGTTTTAGCTGTAGCTTACTGGCAGGTGATTTATTGTTGTTGTTTTAGCTGTTGCTTGATAATAATAATAATAATAATAATAAATAGTATTTGTATAGGGCACCGGAAAATCCAGTGCACAACAGCATTTTTAAAACAAACCCAGAAACCATACAAATTCCAAAACAACGAAAAACTCATCAAACCCTTCGGCCTCAGAATCCTTGAGGACCTCAAGAATTTACACTTTTCCAAACAAGACATCCAACAAATTCTTTTCCCCGACCTCCCTCCGTGGCACCTCACCAAGGCAATAGTAGACTTACAGCTGACCACACACAACAAAGAAAGCACAAACACCAAAACTTTTAAAGCAGAATACAAAAAACTAATTGATAAATACCCCGGTGCGGAGCTCATCTTCACGGACGGCTCCAAAAAAGACAATGAAGTAGGCGCCACAGCCCTATCTCCCAACAATACACACCAGAGGAAACTCCATCTTGATGCCTCCATTTTCACTGCGGAGGCCACTGCCATTGACATGGCACTGGACTCTGTAGAAAATTCTCCTAACAAATCTTTCCTTATCCTTTCTGACTCTCTGTCTTGCATCACCTCACTCACCAACTACACACTCTTACAACCAAAAATAGTTAGGCTACAACAGAAAATTCGTACACTATCCGAAACAGGAAAAAACATCATGTTCGCATGGATACCCAGCCATGTGGGCATCCGAGGAAACGAGCAGGTAGACGACCTGGCGAAGAAAGCTTCATCCCTTCTGCTGGGATCAACGACAAACACTCTCCCACAGACTGACTTTAGAAATAAAGTCAAAAAGTACACCTCTAGTCTGTGGGAGAGCCACTGGGAAAACCAGAAAAATAATAAACTATATGAAATAAAACCCAAACTAGAACAGGGAAATCCTTCGGACCTCTCCAGAAGAGACGAAGTCATTTTTACTCGATTGCGCATCGGACACACGGCCCTGACCCACAAATACCTCCTACAGGGAGATGAGAAGCCGTTCTGTGTCGGATGCGACACAGATTTTACTATTAGACACATCTTAACCGAATGTCTAGACTTTGGAGAGATCTGAAGGAAATATTATAAATGCAAGAAATTGCAAGATATTTTTTCCGTCGTTGTTCCCAGCAGAATTTTGAATTTTATAAAGGCCATCGGCCTTTATGGTAAGTTGTAAAATGAAAATTGAAAACGTACTATTTAAAATTTTTATTGTTACCTATAAGAGTTGTTTTAAATCACAAGTATATTTACACTGAATTTTAATATTTTAGCATTTTAAAGTCAATTAGTTAACCAATCGTGCTATGAACTTTTGCGAAAGTAGACAACTTGTGTTTCACACGCTCATATGACCTTAGCAGTTGCGAGCGCCATAAATCCTATACTACATACATACATAGGGCATGTCCCCGCTCGAAAGCAAGCTCAATGCGCTTTACACTATATTATTACCCCAGCAGACCATAGATCACTCAGAAACATTCTCAGCTTCCCGGGAAGCGTACAGTGCAAGCAGCTGGTTAAGCGCTCAAACACTAACAGTCTGATAAGATCTTTCACTGTCTATAGCTGGGTACCCATTTTCACCTGGGTGAAGTGGGGAAAATTCCTGTAAAATGCCTTACCCAAGGACAGAACGTCGGGCCCGCGGCTCAAACCTCCGAACCTGCGACCTCACGATTACGAGTCCGATAGCCTAACCACTAGACTACCGACGCCACAATTTACATAATGCAAGTATATTAGTTTTCAGAAGAAGTGGGAGATACTGGCAGGTGAGTTATTGTTGTTGTTTTAGCTGTAACTTCTTCTTCTTCCTCTATAGCTGGCTTTCTCCGGAGGGCGGCAGCCTGCCGCGTGCAGTCATATATGTGACGACATTTTTGTATTTGGTCCATAGCACATCCGGCCCGTTTTGGGTATTGTCTTGCAGTTGCAGTCTAATCTTTGGCACCTATATGACCTTATTGTGTTGTGAGTGCCTTAAAACTCTTACTAAAACTAAAACTAACCAAACTTTCATTTTGTTCCCGTCACAGAATGCTTTGGCCTGAATGCCGAAGAAACAGAACTGTTCCGGTCCTTGATGAAAGCCTCTGAGCTTCCAGGGAAGACTTTCCTTTTGGTGTACATGCACTCATCCTCTTGTAGGCTCCAAGATCTGCTTCGGGCTCTGACCCGCATGGCTGAGATAGAGTCCAATGATCGTGTCTACGAACTGATACAGGACCTGTGGACAGAAGCGTACAACAAAAATAACAACAGAAGAAGTACATAGTTGAATGTGACGATAGAAACTTTGTGAAATCAGCAACCAGAGAGGGGGAAATCTTGTATGTGTGTATTTGTGTGAGGGAGATGATTTGCCCAGGAGTGTGTGAAATGAAAGACAGAGATAGAGAGAAACAGCACCAAAGGGAGAAAATGGGAAAAAGAGAGGGAAGGTCTGCATAAATTTGTGACATTAGGCTAGGTGCACACTGGGAATCTTTAACTAGGCGTCAGTTGTAGTCTTCTGTTCGCGCCTCGTCTCAGTTTGTTGGGTAACACAAAAGTTTTGAGCAACAGTTGCCGGCAAGTTGCGACAAAACACAAACTTTCAGTCGCCAAAAATGGGAGCTGCCTGTGCATGCTGTGCTTCTTTATTTCATCGTTTACACTTGGGTGACAAAACTGAACTAATACAGGACTTATGATCATCAGAAACATACACAAATAATGACAGTAACAATCAGTGATTGAAGGGAATAGAGATGGTGATGGATATTAGAGATAATGTTCACCTTCAATAACTAGGATGTATTCCAGGGGGAAGACTCCCACGTGCTCACTCATGGCTGAGATAGAGGCCAATGATCATGTCTATGAGCCGATGCAGGACCTGTGGACGGAAGCATGCAAGAAAAATGTTTGTAAAATTATAGCTTGCTTGCGAGACAATTCGATTTGTCATTTTGCAATTTTGAATGTTGGGTCACTGGTAAATTATTTTATGTCACAAATTAATAGCCAACAACTGTTTCTGTATAATTAATCAGTTTATATTAGAATTTGTTTTTATGAGGCGTGACCCTCACTCTTTTTTCCTATACTATAATGTTATGGCTATCCTGTGATTACTACAATGTGCATACTGTTTTTAATGAAGCTTCAAAGATTACATAGTATTCTGACAGTATTGTACCTTTTTTTTTTCTTTAACATTTTCTGTGCTGACTTTTTTGGAAAATGCAAGTGACCTGTTTTTTTTCCCTGGTCTCAGGCATTATCCAGGCTGTGTTCACTGTGATTTAGACACTGAATGTGGAAGAAGAGGTCTATACTGAGCTAACCACCAGTGGTCACAAACTATTTGCAGTAGAAAGATATTAATGCAGCAATACACTTCTACCATTCTTTTTTTTTTCCGCTGTATTTTGAAAGAAAGGAAGTCTTCTGTTCTATGATCTTCAAAATATGTATAATATTATGAGTGTTTAGAAAAACTTACATTACTTTTTGTTGTGGCTTCTCACATTGATACAGACAACAAAAAGTCAGCGTAAGAAACATATATGGTGAGCTGTAATCCAATCTGAAGAGAATTTCTTAGTGCTTCTGACCTGAAAAATGTTTACTTTGATCTAAAGCTGTGCATGTTACGTTATGAAAAAAAAATATGTGAAACATCATGGTGAAATCAGGCGCTCGTCAAAACATGGAAATTGAATATATCAACATTGTTCTGCCTATTTGGCAATATATATTTTTTTTTTGGGGGGGGGGTCTCAGCACCTTTTATGACCCCTTTAAAACACATTCCTGCATAGATTTGACTGAGAAACATGGATGAAAGGCACAGAAAACGTATGTTTGTAGTTTCCAAGGACACTAGAGCTTTAGAAGCCATCAAACTTTGACGGCTGTTTTCTTGCTACTTTTACCTCTGACGCCAGGCGTACTCAATCTCTTTCAATTGCAAATATCTCGACTTTTATTCGAGATAAATGGTTGTTTTCATCATCAAAAGGAAGACAAATGAACTGGCTTTAAGATTCTACCATATGCCATATGGTATATATATATATATACTATATAACTCCATATGCCCGAAAATTGACAAACACCTGATTCCACCAAGTCGTGACACCTGTTGCCCTTTTTTATGTGTTAAAATGCATTGTTACACCCTTCTTGCTCCATCCATTGTCTTTCACCATTTAGTTTCACTCTTATGGTTGTTTCAACTCTAATCTGGTCCAAAAATAACTTGGGTTATTGTTGACATGACACACCTGAATTTTGTCATAGTGTCTTTCTGAAGATAGACGACCACTCCTTTTGAGGTGTTAAACAGATGTGACTCCTTCAGAAAAGAATCTGGTACAAATGGTGTTTCCAGTCGAACGCAGAGAAGCAAACGGACTATAAACTTTGTGGTTTTGTCAGCTGAAACGCACATTATGTTCAGCACATCTACTCTCATTATTTTGCCACACGTTATGGATTCGCATTAATTTTTGATTTATTTAGGCGCTGTTTGCGTAAATTATTCTGAAATATGAGTTGCTGCTTTTAGTTTGAGGATAATAGACATTGTTACCTCATAGCCCTTAATTTGTGTTTATTCAGAATTGTAGTATAATTGTAATACATGTTAATGTTATGAGCATTATCTATATATACACTGACTTAATGTTCGCGGACAGTATTGCATGCACACGTATCTCAAAAGTTGCCAAAAAAGATGTTCGTCTGTATGCAATACTGCCCGTGTATTGTGAATTTCTATTTAAAATTTTGAGTTTGAAACTAAACGAAAAATACATTCCTAGGCCATTGTTCTAGTACGGTTGCAAATAAATTCTTATGACACCTAAAAACTGAAATAACGGAGATGCATGAGTTCAGTTTCTGCTGCTTGATAATGATATGTAGTTTTGTTTGAAAAATTAATCATAAGCCATTTCTGGCCCGATATTTTCATTCAGGACGTAACTCATGGTGTCTGCTTCCAGTTTATGATTGGAAGTCACCTTTTCTTAATTTAAAAAAAATAGTTTTCTGTACCGGTATGTACAAATTTTGTAACATATGTCTTATCAAATACAAAGTAAATAGATATATTGTGTAGTCTGTTTAAAACAAATGCAGTTAATCCAAAAAAGGTTTGGAAAGAAAAAAAAATCCCTTATTTAAAAAAATTGTTTTATTTGAGCAACGTCTGTAACCTGAAAATAAGGCGATAAAAAAGGAAAAATGCAGGCAGTCCCTCAGATTTCGCCTTAAGTAGTCTGCACTGTACATAGACAGTACAAGAAAAAACTTCGAACCTGAAAATCTTTTGACTGTGTGCGTGTTCACTATGTGCCTGCAAGACTGAATTAGATTTAAACCACATTGTGTTGGTAAATTCTGATATTTTGGTGGGTTTTTGTTTTAGGTTTAGTAAAATGCCATTTTCAGTAAATTCTGCTTTTTGAGTACGTTCGTCTTCATGGCTTATTGGGAGGAGAGGCACAAACGTCATTGCCATGTAACCTACATTTTTATCTTTTGTCATGCTAGATGCCCTAGCTGAGAAACTTTGAGTTTGTAGTTCGGATATAGTGGAAATTGTGTTTTCCTTTCCAAGAAAATATAACTGGTAAAAAAAAAAAGGTACATTTTACTGGTATTTAAGATGTTTAACAAAACCTGTCCTGTTATGTTGTTGATAATGTACGGAGTTGTCCAAGACAGCTCACTTTATAATTATGTACTAGTTATGCCATTTACTCAGCTGGGCTATAGTGTGAATGACCCTGGTTGAAATGCCGAATGTGATGTTTTGAGCCCTCAAACTGTTTGTCGGCCAATAATTGACCGGTTGTGTCCTCTCTGCGCTTTGCAGGTTGATTCACTATTCGTAAACGGGTGTTGGGGGGGGTTACAATAACCACATAGAAATAGCCGTAAATCTGTACATGATATCCGTATGTGTAGATACTATGAAAAAGTAGACATGAGACTTCCAGCTCGGGACTTTTTACGCTTTAATTTTTTTATTTGATGGCAGAACTCTGTCGTTGAATATGCTTCGACAACTGAAAAATCCATCACCATAGGTGACAAAAATATTGAAACTATGTTTGGACCTGCATCAGGAAGTACGTTACTTTAATTTGTTGCGTAAATATTTTTGAAAGTACTGTATTTTTTATGTAAATGGTTACTATGATGGCTTTTCTTTGCCTCAGTAAGACTTTGAAAGGGGCGATTTGGATTGGGATGCTGATAAGACAGGAGATTGTCGGCCAGTAATTGACAGGTCGTGTCCTCTCTGCACTTTGCAGGTTGATTCACTATTGTAGTAAATGGGTGTGGGGGGGGGGGGGGGGGGGGGGGTAGGGGTACTATAACCACATAGAAATTACCGTAAATCTGAGTACACGATATCCATGTGTGTAGATACTATGAAAAAGTAGATATGAAACTTCCAGCTCGGGACTTTTTACGCTTTAATTTTTTTCTTTGAAGACAAAACTGTCGTTGAATGTGCTTCGACAACAGTCAAAAATCCATTGCCGTCATCATCATCATCATCATCCAGTGCCAGATCTACAACAGACATCGGCCATCATGGTTCTCCATTCATTCCTTTGCTCAGATGCTCTCAAAAAAAGCTACGTTTCCCTGATCTTTCCCTGTTTCCCATTTGTTTACGTTCCCTAAGTATGGTGTTCTGGGCCTACCCCTGCCTCGCTTGCCCTCAATATTGCCAGTGAGAGCTAGATGTTCAAGACCGTTATTTCTATTCAGGTGTCCCAAAAACTGCATTTGTCGTTTCCTGATTGTTTTTGACATTGAGCGTCTTAATTGCCATAGGTGACAAAAATATTGAAACTTATGTTAGAGCTGCATCAGGAAGTACGGTACTTTACATTGTGGCGTAAATATTTTTGAAAGTACGGTATTTTTTATGTAAATGGTTACTATGGTCGCTTTTCTTTGCCTCAGTAAGACTTTGAAAGGGGCGATTTGGATTGGGATATTGATAAGACAGGAGATTGAAGTCTAGATCTAGATGTTGATTTATATCGTGATAAAGCAGATGATTAGAGTAAAATTGTATAAAAACCGTCCCAGCAAACCTATTAAGTCAGTTTTTTTGGTTTTTAAAAATTGATTCAGTTACTTTAAATAGAATACAATTCGTTGATTGTTTTTCTGCTCCGATAACAACTTACCTGTTTGTGTACTGTAAACTTCATTTCAAATTTGTATTCTAAGATTTGTTATATTTCTGTATCATGTAAATAATTCTGACGAATGACTAATACAATTTTTGACAAAACTGCTAAAACTAAAATCATGCATTTTTTTTTCTTACTTATAAAAAATTTCCTACAACTCTGTGACATATAAACAGTTTACATTAGTTTTCGAACTTCTTAGGGTATGTGGATAATTTTGATAGTTTTGGATTTTCTCATTTTTGGTTAAAGTTCAAGTTCCTTGAAATAATTTTGTTACTTTTAACTTATGTGTTAGAATTGACCAGCGCATCCATTTTCCAATCAGAAAATGTGTGGTGTTATGTATTTGATGATGCATATTAAATTTGCTCTTTATACCATACAATTTATGACCTGTTTGTTAGTGTAGTTGTTCAAGGAAGTTTTCTGTTTGTTGACTCTCCACCTACTCAGCCTAATCCTGTTGGAAATTAACTCAAAATTCAAAGGTCCCAGTTAATAAATAGTAATAAATTATGATTAATAGCATAATTTGTATAGCGCAAATTCCTGCTCAACAGCAAGCTCTATAACATTTTATGCAAGTTTTTGCTGTTTATAGAACGGTAATGAAAGAAGGGAATGCTTCTTTGGCAGCCAATAGGCCAGTGTCAAATGCGAGTGTGTTAACATTACTGCTTACTGCTTACTGATCCCATAATCCACGAGGATCATAGGGGCGCTGTATGATAGAGAGCCTGTGAGGTGCCTCCACTTTTCACGGGTTTTTTTGCAAGTGCCTAAGTTTTGGATAAGGATTTCCCTGTCCACTCTGCAATGTTGTTGGTCCACCTCTTCCTTTGCATTTATGATAGTTAACATAGTCATTCTTAATTTCATTTGTTAGGTTTTGCGTCAATGCTTGGAAAAATTCTTTTAATTTTTTTCAATCTTAAAGAAAAAAG